ACTATTATCCACAAAAATGTGAAGTAGATTGTAGAAAGCAGTGTAGGTGTATGACTTGGTGAGAAATTGAGGTTTTTGGGATTTTTAGTGTGTTGTGGATGGCAGCAAGATGGAGGGCACAGGGTGTCATCCTGGGTTTCTTCTTCCTCCTTCTCCATGGGTTTGGGTGGCATTTTGTAATTGGGTGGAAAAATCTGCATTGCAGCTCTTTGGGATCAGTTATTGGGTTAAAAGGGAAAATCTAAGTGTAAATTCCTAATTGAATAGTTTAGCTTCAAAAGACCTTGTAACAAGAGACTGATGGCCATTTTGTGCCTTCTGATGAAAAGCTGCTGAACTCATGGTTGTGAAACTTTTACTGATAAGAGATAATTTCCACTTGAGTCCGAACAGGAATTACTGTCTCGAGTGCCTTCAGTCCAGACGCAGAGAAACAGAGAGCTGGTATCCCCCCAGGGAGGCAGGGCTGGGTGCTGCCAGGGCCTGCTGGCCACGGGGAAGGGGTCAGAGGTGCAGTCAGGTGCTGTACTCACTCTGTGCCTCGCAGTCCACGCAGTGGGAGTTGCCTCTGATGTTCCTGATGGACTGCAGGGCCATGGCCTCGTTCTGGCTGGTCAGGCGCGACTGCGGGGAGCCAGAGACACCAGTGAGCAGCAGGAACCCAAAATAACCCCAATGACACCACTGTCAGCTGAGCGAGCAGCCAACCCCACAGCTCACACCAAGGGCAAATTAATACAGTCAAGGAACCTCAAGTCTTGATTTGCCTCTCAAGGAACAGTGCTCCTGTGGCACCTCCCAGACTTTTGGGGTCCCCAGCTGGATTCTGACAGAGGGAAATGGAGCTTGGGAATGAACCCTGCTCTTCCCAAGAGCAGCAGCCACACTGTAGGCTTGCTTCTTGAGATAAATGAGACAAGAATATTATTTTACAAGATCAATTTCTTTCATTGATGTGTGTGCTCGTGCTAATGAAGACTAAGGGACGGTTTGCAGAAAAGGCTGGAACTTTTTATCATTCAAAGGTCAGATTTCAGCCAGTGGCTCCCCTTTAAATGCTCCCCACGATGACCTGCCCATGACCTGTGCTGGGGGAGACTCTCCTGATGTGCAGGCAGATTGGCTCTGGCCAACTGTCCTAGGCTGGAAATGCAAGATGTGCCTGGGGGTGTGAATTCTATTCTGCATCTGTTAGAGCTGGGGCAGTTATCTGCTATTAATGGGGCAGTTTTCTTTATCTCTCCCACAAACCAGTCCTCCCTCGGGGAAATATCTTGTGTTCATGGGCCATTGAGTGTCACTGCATGACTGATAGAATTACATCATCCCATTGGGAGAAGCTGCGCCCAGGGGGAGGAGCCAAGCATTCCTTCCTGGATATAATCTGACAGTTGGAACACCACAGCACCTTTCCCACTGGATTCCCAGAGGAAGACCAGACCAATCCACAACACCACTGGATCTTCAGAGGAAAACTCCACCCTTCTACAGGATCACTGCTCCAGCAGAACCACACCTGTCTCTGCAGGAGGACTGCAGCCACCCTTTAATGGGACTGCTACCAGCAACCCGACACACGGGGAGTCAGGCCATATTCTCACTCTGTCAGTGTTGTTTTGTATTACTGCTTTGGTTTGGGTTTTTTTTCCGTCACTAATAAAGAACTGTTATCCCTGCTCCCATATCCTCCCCTGAGAGCCCCTTAATTTCAAAATTACAACAATTTGGGGGAAGGGGGTTCACATTTTCCATTTCAGGGCAGGTTCCTGCCTTCCTGAGCAGACACCTGTCTTTCCAAACCAAGACACCAAGTAGGACTTGTGGATGTCCACCTGGAGACACAACTTCCATGGGACACCTGCTAAACCTGTCCACCCAACTGCTCTTTGCTGTTCCAGCCAGTTCTTCTGACATGCTTTGGGAATCCAGTGAGAAAAACCTCTCCGAGCCATTGCCCAGCCACTCTCTATCCTTTTGTATTCATCTTTTTATGTAGGTGTTAATGTACAAACTTCCCCTTCTGTGCTCTTAATAACACATTCATTTCAGAATGTGTGAACCCATGCTAAACAAGAAACCTGTAAGCTGTGATTTTCCTCCATCTCAGGAATATCTGTTGGAAAAAACCCATTTTTAAACACAAAATGGGAAGTAAATTGTGTTATGATGATGGTAATTACTGGTGTTTGATCCAGTCTGTCACACCAGGGCAATGAAGGCAGGCATTCATTTAAAAATTAGTCTCCCTTGCAGTATAAAATCATGAAAGACAACTGTTAGGTGGGTAATATTAAAGGATCTACAGTTGTGGACTGAAATGATCAACAATCATTGGCCATTTCTGTCCCTCAATCACCACTCAGCACCTTGCTCTCTCCTCTGAAGTGTTTACAGACAACTGCCCTCAAGACACACAACTTCTCTCAAAATGAGCATTGGCTGAAGACATCTCAGATTCTAAACATTTGTTTTGACAGGAAAGGTGAGCAGATTCCTTCTGTCATCAAAGGAAAGCACTCCAAGGGGGAAAGCTGCTCCTCCCAGGCCACATTGTTCCCTCAGAGAGCTCTGACCCTGCTCAGCTGTGGGGGGAGCACACACAGCTCAAGGGGTAAGGGCTTAAAATCCAGAATTTGCTGTCATCCTAATGCTCCCCTGACCCATGGCTCATTACCAGCACTGCTCTGTGCCCCATACCTTGTTCTTGCTGCTCTCACAGGACTGTAAACTGGCCAGGATCTGGCTCTCTATGGCTTGGACCCACGCGTCCCTCTCTTCGTAGGTGGTTGCTTCAAAGTGCCAAGTCTGGCCCGTGAGAGAGACAATGATAAACTCAAAGTTCTCTTCTTGCTCTGGAAAAAAAAAAACAAAAAAGAAAAAACTAAATGCAACAGGAAGAAAAGATTAAGTTAAGGACAGTGAAAAGAATCTTGGTTGGTAAGAGCTTGTGCTACTCAATGGTTTTAAGCTGAAGGAGGGTAGATTTGGATGAGATACTGGGGAGAAATTCTCCCCTGTGAGGGTGCTCAGGCCCTGGCACAGGGTGCCCAGAGCAGCTGTGGCTGCCCCTGGATCCCTGGCAGTGCCCAAGGCCAGCTTAGATGGGGTTTGGATCAACCTGGGACAGTGGATGGTGTCCATGACCATGGCAGGGGTGGCACTGGATAATTTTGAAGGTCCCTTCCAATCCAAACTATTCTGGGATTGTGCAAATCCTGTAAGTGCAGGTCTGGGCCCTGCACAGTGCACCAGGAAACAACCAGGATCCACTCTTTTGTGTCCAAATGCTGTGCAGGTAAAGCAGTGGTTTGGGTAAATACTCAGTGCCTGTGTTTGTGAGCTTGGAATCGAGTCTGTGCCTTAATCAAACATAAAGTGGCCAACAAGCATCATTCAGATTTAAACCTGAGGTGCTAAAAGCTGCATAATGTAAAAATCAAAGGGTGCCACAAAATAAAAGATGAATGGACCACAAAGAACTGACAATACAGAAAATGTAACAATTTACCCTCCTCTTTCAAGCAGTTTTTACAAGCACAGATATATTAAAGCAGATGTGGACATTTTCTCCTCTACAGCATAAATACCGGGATAATAATAATAATAATAATTACTGGACTATAATACAGGATTAAAATCAGTTCAACCTATTCAACATCCACATCTGACATGGGAGATGAGAAAATGATCTGAGAAGCCAGGAGAGAGGGTCAGTGAAATATCCTTAGGGCTGCTGGAGGAGGAGGACAAGTATTCAGGCCAGAGGAGCAGCACATGGAAATACCAGCAGCACTGAAATAAATGGACACACACCCCACCTACACATGGGACACCAATGCCAAATTAAAAAAAAATATCAAGGAATCTGAAACAGAGTAAAGTGCAATTGGGGCAGGCTGGCACGAAGCATGAAAGGAAAAAAATAATAGAGCACAAAATTCTGGTGAACATCAGCCCTAACGAGATTCTGAAAGAACATTTTGTCTGATAATGACTGATTATATATTCAGAGCCATGGCACTACTGTGTTCCCTCATCATCCATAAACATGCAAAGATCAGGGACAAATCCAGCAGCAGAGTTAAGGACAGCACTGCTGGCAGCTGTGTTCCCAAGCTGGGTACATGGGCTTTTCTTGGATAAGCTCCATGTCATGCTGTAAGGATGGCTGAATGTCTGAATGCCATTTGCAGGTGCAGGGAGGTACCTGAAGGTCCAGTTAATTTACTGGAAAACGGTGCATGGGGTAAGTGGGTAAAGAAACCATGGAATGTCCAGAGTTGGAAGGGACACAGAAGGATGAGACCCCCAACAATCCCACCCTGTGCATCCCTGGGAGTGGTGTCCAAACCCTCCTGGAGCTCTGACAGCCCTGGGACTGTGCCCATTCCCTGGGGAGCCTGGGCAGTGCCAGCACCCTCTGGGGGAAGAACCTTTTCCTAAAATCCAACCTAAATCCTCCTCTGGCACAGCTCCATGTCATGCACCTGGCTCAAAGATGAATGATGCACAAGTGTTCCACTTTAGCAGCACACTGTTCCAGACAAACAGGTAGAGACATTACCCAAAATGCCATGAATTAATCATGGCCAAAGCCTCGTTTATCAAGCAGAGCTTTCAGGGTTTCCTGAGGAAGATCCAAGAGGAACTACTCCACAAAAAATGAAGTCACATTCAGCCCTGTGCACAACACAGGAGGAGAACACAGGAGTTAAGGTCTCTGCAGCACCACTGCCTCCTCTGATCTCCTCTTTAATGATGCTGATCACACACTTGGAGCTGGTTTGCCCAGGAGAAATAAGCCCAGGTGAGCTGCTGCACCTTTTCAGGTGGGGCTGGAAGGACATTTTGAGGTCCAGAGAAGAAAACAGAGCTGGGGAGGGTCTGGAGCCCCAGGAGGGGCTGAGGGAGCTGGGCAGGGGCTCAGCCTGGAGCAAAGGAGGCTCAGGGGGCCCTTGTGGCTCTGCACAGCTCCTGACAGGAGGGGACAGCCGGGGTGATTTGGGATCTTATCCCAGGGANTGGGCCAGTCGTCCAGGTCCAGGGAGCGCACGCGGGACAGGTGCGTGCCGAGGTTGCGGTGGATACCTGAGCATTCGATGCAGATGAGGGCTCCCAGGTTGAGGCTGGCCCAGTCGGGGTCTGCAGGGCAAGGACACAGCAGTTAGGACAAGGGAACATCCCACAGGACTTCCCAGCTGTGGTTGTGCATGAAGGTTTTGGTTCTGGAGGTGTTTTGTCCTAAAGAGCAGCTGGGAGGTCGTCCCGGGTCAGTGGGGATGCCAACGATTCAAGGGGTACAGAAAAATGAGATGTGGTGTCTCAAAGGATGCATCACTCCACCTCCAGCCAGAAAACCCCAATGAGTTACAGGGGAAAGGAGAAACAGAGGCAATATAACCATGGGGGTGGGTAAAGGATGATGGAGCAGTGAAAAAAGCCCCTCCCTGGGAACCCAGAGCTGCTCATAGTCAGCAGAAAGGGGAAAAAGAGAAAAAACCAGAGCCTAGAAACAATTATCTCCTGCTAACTCCATCAAGCTATGTGTGGCTCTTCCATCTGACTCTTCTTCCATCTCCAGCACCAGGGAGATAATAAACACCAAGGTGGAAATGTCCCACCTGGAATTGCCTGGTCCCAGGGCATGAGCCAGAAGGATTGCACCCACCCAAAACAACCCCACACAGGGTGACACTGGGACAAACCTGGCACAGGATGGGAAATCCCATTTCCCAACATGGTTCAAAGCTCTTTTGCCACTGTCCTGTGTGATTCAAATCTAGATTTGTATGGATTGCCTCCTCTCCAACAAACATCCACCCTAACAAATGCAACTGAAGACTACTACATGAAAGGAATTCTGGTTGGTTTTTCCTAACCCCCTGCTGTCAGATCTTTTTTTCGTGCCTCACTCTGTGCATCCCAAAGAACTACCCCATATGCCATGCAGGAAAATGGGGATTAATTAACAGGGCAGGCAATTCTTGTTCCTATCTAAGCAAAATTTGGATCTGACAGAAAATGAATTTCCAGTGTTCCCTTCTGCTGTGAAAAATTCATCCAACGACTTGTCTCCACTTTGTGCAACCCACAACTGAAAAGCTATTTCTGGCAGCCAAAATATGTGGAAACAAAACATTTTCTGGTTCTTTCCCATGTCATGTTTGGACAAAAAATAGGAAAGGAAAGCTCATAATTTTAATTGTGAAGTCCCACATTTCACTGAAGGCATTGACTGACATTTTTCAATGAGTCCATTGAAATCTAAAAATGCAACCAAGAAGAAAAATCCCTTATCTTATGCCACTTGAGCAGAAAAGCACATCTTTTGTTTCAAAGTTCCTGTCCATAGCAAGTCCTACATTATACATAATTTAATATCCACATTATAAATATACAACATTTCAGATCTCCAAAAAATCAGGTGAGACAAAACTCCTGCCATGCTTCCCAAGCTTTTGGTACAGCAACCACAACAAACTCTTGCAATTCCATAATTCTTCATATACCCCCACTGTTGTTTTGCCAGTGAGGGAACCAGTGGTGTACCAGAAACACACTAAAAACCCCTCAAAATCTCAATTTGTTGGTATAAATTTGAAGACAGCAAGTAAGAATTTGAAATTTGCAAACTGACCTGCAAAGGCCAGGGTTATCCTCACAAAAATCCAAAGTGCAATGAGCTCCAAGAGGCATGAACTCGGAATGAAGCAGGAGAATGGAATACCAACTCACATTATTCCAATTATTCTGACAGAACTGGAGTTAGGGACCTGACCTCCCTCCCAAACACCTCTCTACTTGATGCACGTGTAGAGCATCTCGTACTGAAAAAATTCTTTAAACACAGAATGGTTTGGGTTGGAAGAGCCTCTCAGTTGCCAGCACTGCTGTGATTGAAGGAGTCCCCCAAAAAAACAACAAACAGCAGGTTCCATGAAATTCTAGCAAGATATTATTTTCAATTTCAACAATCTGACAACACAGAGCTGGGTGGGAAAGTGGCAAACGAGGCAAGGCAAGGGCTGAACTTGTTACAGAAATAAAAATTGTTATCACCAATGCACACCACAAGTTACAGCTTTCCACCTGTAACTATTCAAGGTTGTTTTTTTTTTTTTTACTTTAAAGATGATACAAACCCAGCTCCCTTTTCCTGCTGGTGGTGAGAGTAACTCTGAATTGGAGGATGTTCACAAACATGGGGCAGGCGTGGCCATCAAGGTTTGACAGCAAAAGGAAGAAAAAGCCCACTCAGTGCAGCTAGAGGTGCTTTACTTAGAATTGGTCAAACAAAAAATGAGCTTTTTAGCTCCACTGAATACATCCAGATTACAATTTTCAGCTGTTCATAGCCTCAAAAACGCTCACCTCAAAATTCTTCCCCACTCTGACTCTCACCTCAATCAGCTTCACCATTTGGAGGTGAACATTCTCTCAGGGGAATAACCCCTCCCCACTGTCTCCTTCATCCCTTTGGATTCTGATGAAAAGCTGAACCTTCCTGAGGTCAGCAGCTGTGAGATATCCCTGGGCTGAGCAGCAGGAATTGCTGGAAGGAGGAGCAGAAGAGCCAGGGAAAGAAGAAGCAGGGGTGAAGGCATCTCCAGCTGCTGCAGAAGGGGGAGAAAAGTTTGCAACTCTCCTATTCTTTTTTTTTATCCTATTCTTTATGAAAAACCGAATTTTGTGATGGGTAGGACAAGATTGTCCAAATTATTATCTCAGTGTTTGGCTTTCAAATACAAAATACAGCAGAGTATGTGATCAGACTCCTGGAATGGAAAGCTCATGATGAGAATCCATGTTTTTAAACCCTCCCTGTTGTTTTCTACAACAGCAAAGACCTGAT